GAGAGGGGGGGTAAGAGAGATATACTGGGCTGTAATGAATGGTGAGGTATGAAGCGTAGTGCTCTATGAAACGGGTGTGGTTTTGCCTGCCTGGCATTTCAGCCACATTACGACCAAGGGGACGAAGTCCGATGAACTAAGCATGTGATTATAGGGGTGTGCAATAAATAAATAAGGGAGGCGGGAGGGGAAATATTAGTTTTTTTTTTTTTGGGGGGGGGGGGAATTAAAAAAAAATGGCAACCATGACGAGGAGAGATGAACGGAGGGAAAAAAAAAACGTGTATGAGTGATGTACCTGAAATAAGGTCTTGCTTGAGTCAAGTTGAGGGCGTTCTCAGACAAGCCCCCTATCTTACATGTAGCTGACCGAATTTACGGCCTCGCCTGGATGAACCTGACCGCAATTGCTTCCATAAACAAAAAAAAAATTCCCTGAGTGACTATACTCTCAGTGTAGACAGCTTTTTCCGCAGACTTGTGCCGTGGAATGGAACAGGTAATCAATCATACAACCGTTTTGCCGTTGGCGGCGGCGGCGGCGGAGGAGGAGGAGGAGGAGGAGGAGGAGGGAGTTCGTGTCAACGTCGTCCCGTCCGCGCCAAGATGCACCAAAGTTGCACCGAAGATTCACCGTATGTGAAGCGTGGTGACCTCAAGCAAAGAAGAGTTTGGGCCTCGCCACACCACTCGAGAAATGTGAAGAAGACAAAAATTTGGCGGCCGCATCTGGCCATGTTCTAGCGGGAAGTTCGTTCTCATTTTGCACATTTCGAGTTCGAGAGTGGTGTGGCGAGGCCCTTTGGCGGCGCAAGTCACGATAGACCGACCCTAAGGGCATACTCACACACTACCGGTAGGCCCTCAAAAACGCAAAAACGCAAAATGAGTGGCCCTCAAAAACGCAAAAACGCAAAATGAGTGGCCCTCAAAATCGCAAAAACGCAAAATGAGTGGCCCTCAAAATCGCAAAAACGCAAAATGAGTGGCCCTCAAAATCGCAAAAAACACGCAAAAAGAGTGGCCAGACAGATTGAGTTCTTGCAAAAGGAGGACTGGATCTGGCCGCTCATTTTGCGATTTTGCGATTTTGAGGGCCTACGGTAGTGTGTGAGTAAACCCTAAGAAGATAAAAGTCCATTTTAGTATTTTGTTTGCACATTACAAAACTCCCACACCTTTTAAAACCATCTTGTCCCTTGCCGTGGCGGTTTCTGAAGACCTGGGCTATACGCAATCAACTGGCCCGGGGGTTAGTCTTCTCCTGGTGGCAGATTGGTTGAGGAAAGGAGGGGGGATAGAGGAGAAGAGAGTAATGAACCAAGTGCACTCGGTTCCAGTCGGCAGGTGCAGTAGCCTGCAATGATGAGGGGTGGGGGACGATGAGAAAGGGAGGCGGCCCTATGCTTGCAGGGGTCCCCTCTATATACTTTTCGCAGTAGTGGTAGGAAGGTAGTGAAAGGAGAAAGGAATTTGAGAGAAGAACATAGTGCAGTCGGTCTGTGCCTTAGTTATAGGTGTAGTAGGTTAGGGAGGTTGAGAAGGGTAGATAAGGGTAGTAGTTGGAACACAGTGTTTGATGGTGCGGATTACTACATTTTCGGAAATTCGGATTTTTTTTTTTTTTTTTTTTTTTTTTTTTAAAT